AGGTAGAAAGCGCAGAGAATTTAGAGAGAGAAAAAAAACACAATTTCCGGGAAATTTGTTTGATGGCCACTTAATAGCAATAACGGCAATAATCTTCGTGTCATAAGAATAGAACAAATCATCTTGGCCTTCCACAAGCAAAAACAGATTCTTCTACAGCCAATTCTAACTGCTATAAAAATTAAAAGACAAGCAACATATGTTCAGAAACAAATTCACTTGTTGCCTGTTATATTTTATAAGTCTATGGATGGAAATCAGTTAAAATAACAATGTTATTTTAATTTCACGTACGGTTTTATCAGCTGTCTTTTGTTAATATATCCTGAAAATGAGGAAGTTTTCAAAATGAGTACTGATTTTATATCCGAATAAATTAATTAAATTGCGAAACAAACATTGTGTTGAATTTCAATAAGGATTTATAGTAAGCAATGGCTTAAACGTTATTCAAATAATTCTGATTTAACCTTGCATGTGAAAAGTCTGTTTTTTTTTATTGGTATCCCCCCATGCAAGCAGTAAAGCCACTAAGGAACAAGGGGTTACAGGATATGGATGAATTAGAGCAAAATTATGAATAATGATCGGAAAGACAATAGAGCCATCAAGAGGACAATAGACAGGGATTGACATTGCATTTATATTTTTGCAGATTAAAGTTGGCTGGAAAGCAATGAGCGAGAAGGGCGTTCCACAATAAGAGGTGCGAGAAAACTGTAAGGTGATCGCCCTTCCTATACTGCGCTTAAATTTAAAAATATCTATGTATCACGGCGATGTGCTCGTTTGAACACTTACTATGAAAGTATTTATAGAAAAGACCCAGAGAGTCATCTTTACGGCGGTTGGAAAGTGACTGAAGCCGAGCTGCCAGATCAGGACCTATAATATTGCTGATTCTTCTTTGAATCCAAACAAGGAGCTCAAGTTAGATAGCAGGGACCCCGGACAATATGTGGCAGCAATATTCTAAGCATGGACAAATGGTAAACATCTAGGTATGTAAGATTGATTCTGGAGAGAAAAATTGTCTCTCCCGACACAGTGAAATGACTTTTTTTTTAGTTGATGACCTAACACTGGATTCACGGAATTCTTATCATAAGATTCTTGATTAACTGGATTTCGTAAAGATTTCAGATGAAAAAACTATTATTGATTGATTGGTTGTCCTGTTTTAACGACCTATCAACTCTGTTGCTTTTTTATTCCTGAAGTTATTTTTTTAAATATCTGGACTGTTAAACAATCCTTTGGCGTGTTGGTTTCATCACTCTGCAATTAAACTTCTATTTAGTGCTATCATTTTTAGTATAGACCAACTTCCTTCCTGTAAATTATGTACTTTTATCTTCTTGAAATAGTCCCCTAGACTAGGCAAGTCATAAAATCTTTGACCTACAGAGACACGGCCACTGCAGTTGGTTTGAATATTTTTTACGTTATATGCCTTCTGATGTGTGCATTCAGGAGGAGGGACATTTTAGCAGAAATGAGTGAGTAAAGGATATAGGTGTTTCCTATTCGGATTCTTAATAGGATAACTTCTTTCCAAAAAAAAAAAAACTGAGACCATGATGCTCTTCTCTTAGAATGTGTAAAGTTTTTTTTTTTTTTATGGCGACGAAGATGAGAACAATAGCCATATGTTTATAGTTTGAGTGCTCCAATAAAATATTATCAGTTACTTCTAAAGAGGCAGCAGGACTGGTTTCAGGGCGTTTGGCAATATTTTGTAAATATGTTTTTCTTAAAGGTTTTGCACAGTAGTAGATTCAATGATTAAGTTACTATCTACATGTGATTCATTGATAAAGATTTCAATAATGAAATTTATTAAAATATATTGGTAGTTAGTTGATTTGGTATTTTTAAAGAGAATTATATTTTTTTATTAGGATGAAGCATTTAGTAGGCTGTTGACCATGTGGATTGTGGATGGAGTATAGTACGCCAAGTTCTCATCATTTTACAGTCCAAATGGTTAAATGTAACCGCAAGTTCTATGTGAATCGTTTCTCCTCTCGCAGTTCTTCCTAGTGGACCTCTCTAAGGGCTTCTTGTTTCCCAGTCAAATGTGATATTCAAAAATTTAAATGCAATGTCAGTCGTTATCTCCTGTCTTCTTAATTCTTGTTCTTTTATTGTTTCCTCTCTTAATTAGTATTTTTGTTTTCAAATTCTCTCACACTGAGTAACTCCCTTCCGTGTTAGTGGCTTTATTGCCTTTCCTTATCAAAACCTGTCAGTATTTAGCAGACATTTGTTGAGGATGCAGCTGTTTTGTATAAACCTATCAGGTGGGGGTTCCATGGTCGGTATATAAGGTTTCATATATTTGTACCCCAGTATCGCATTTTGAGCGTGGTCTGCGCCACTCAACAACAACATGAACAATGAGGCTAATAATAATAATAATAATAATAATAACTAGCCTCAAAGAGATACAAAAAATTGTTCTGACAAGTAGAGCCCACGCTTTACGAAAGGCTTTATCTATGGATTTTTTTTTTTTTTTGTCAGTGGAAAGTGTCATGATGCCATTTCTAACCTTAGGTCCCTAGGCGGGACCCGGAAAGAAATGTGTAAACGCCAGAAATCAAAGAAAATGATAATAATAATAATAGCTGGTAAATTTCTTGGAATTTTTGGTAATTTCCCTTAAAACTCTTTCCTCAATATGATAATTAATATTAGACAATTCTGTTGCCCGGATGTTTTCATTGATTTCCTGAAATTCCGCTTCTTCCAATCTTCTTGGAATAGTTCGAAGATCACCAAGAATTAGCATTCGTATACAATTATCTACTTTGCTCTTGTAACTGACTTTATATTTCTCAAACTTGTTGCATTTTACAACTTTTCACTAACATTTGTTAAAGCAGCAATAGTCTTTTTTCTGAAAAAATATTCTCGCTACGGTTTTCTTGCTTTATTAACTTATGCGTCTATGTGTAATAAACATATAATTTCACTATTTTATTTTTCTCATTCAAACATGTATTTTTGGCACATATATTCAGGTCACTGTAAGAGTACGAATGGATCACCAATCCTACCCAATCAGGCCTATCTTTGAATTAATTGGAAAGCTATTTAGAAACAAGTAGATTTTTATGTATTTGTCTAAATAGTAAACACATTAATTTCTTTGGATCAGTTATAACAAATTAAACTCAGAAGAAACTACCTTAAGTTTAGTTTCCAACAATACCGCAAGATTCCATGTTCTTAAATAGTCTCGCCATTTAGATTCTCAGGTGGATATCATACATGGCCTATATTTCGATCAGAAATATTTAGACTACCAGCTACATTCAACTCTTTACTCAGATCAATGATTAAAATGATTTAAATCAAATAAGATCTGTGGGGCTTGAAACGGACTGTCCTTCGTAATAATTCGTGGGCTGGGGCTACACAATCACAAACAAAAACTGTATAAAATAACCGAAAACACATCACTAGAAGACTTTCAACAGCAGAAACAAATGCATAGCGTATGTAATGACATATTCAACGCGTTGACTTTCCACATTAAAATTTGAAACAAAAAAGTTAGGAAAAAACCCCACTAGCACTAGAAATAGTGGATTTGAGTAATCTGTTTTCCTGCAAAACGATTTTCAGTGAAAATGTTTTTATGTTTCAAACGACAGCAATGCTAACTCTTCGGTCAGTGAATATCGAATGTTCCCTGTATGGAAACGTTTTTATCTCATAATCCATATTATAAATGTGTTCCCTTTGACGAACATTTAAGATCTGTTTGCACGCATAAGTATGAAGTCTATTAATGACCATCAAGTGATGGAAACACCTTTTAATATTCATCCTTTAGAGGCTACATAATCTATTTGGCTCAGAAGTTAAGATTTCTCAAGTGAAATAATTAAGTTGAAGTTGCTTATAATTCGATTTGTCTGGGTTTATATCGTGAATGTTATATAGCACGTCTCTTTGAGCATTCTGTGGGCCTTTTTTATCTCTCTTTGGTTGGGAGAGAAAAATGTCTGACACGTAAAATCAGCGTCTTTATTCATTCTTCCATATTTACTTTCCGGAAGTAGATTTTCCAGTTTGATCACGTCTGATGAAATTGATATGGGATTTCTTTATTTCTTAGTATTCTTCTACTTACGATTATAAGATTCAAAGATTCATATATGATACGTTTGATTAAACATTTCTCCTATACAAGCTTTTAAGTTTCTTAGGGTTGACTTCACTTCGATGACTTTTAGTCCAAAACCAGAGAGATTTTTCTCGATTTTCATTGGCCATGTCATTTCATTTAGAGCTGCATTTATATATATATAATATATATATATATATATATATATATATATATATATATATATATATATATATATATATATATATATATTATTTCTTCAGTCTCGTCGATGTTTTCCCTTTTGAATGTGGTTTATTTGTGTGGTTTAGAACGTAGGGGCCATGAACGTGGGGCCAATATGATTTAGTTCTTAGCAATTTGAAATCATTATCGATTTCATTCTCATATGTCTTTATTGATTTCTTATAAGAAGCGGCGTAATCATTTGAATGCGTACTTTAACAGCATTTGAAATAGAGTGGCGAAAATATAAGCAGAGAACGGGGTTCGATATCTGCTTAAGGCAGTTTATTTTTCTTTACTTTAATTTTCTCAATAAACAGCGTAGATATATTTTATCATATTATTTACAGTATAGTTCACCCCGTACAAGGCTAGGCTCATGCAAATTAGCACAACGATTGTCATCCATCTATGTTGAGAATCTATCTTCTACAAACAACCAATTAGTTAGCAGAATGAAATTCTTACACCATACACCAAACAGATTTTAGTAGAGGCTATTTTTCGCGTACTTCTGGTTCTTCTGTAAACATCTTTCTCATATGATGTGTTGCCATTTAAGGCATTTCTGGCAGTAAATAAAACAACAGCCGTCGATAAATTAATTGAACTAAACACAATTAACAAAAGGCCTAACATGTTTTCTTGTTTATGTTACGGTGTCGAAAATGAGTTACTATCCATCTATCTAACTGACTATGTTCACATCTATCTATCTATCTATCTATCTATCTATCTCAGCCTGTTTTATCTATCTATCTATCGATCGATCTATCTCAGTCCTTTTTATATTTATCTATCTATCTCAGACCTTTTTTATATCTATCTATCTATATCTATCTATCTCAGTCCTTTTCATATCTATCTATCTATCTACCTCAGTCCTTTTATATATCTATCTATCTGAGCCTGTTTATATCTTTCTATCTCAGTCCTTTTTATACCTTTCTCAGTCCATTTTATATCTATCTATCTATCTATCTATCTATCTATCTATCTATCTATCTATTTCAGTCCATTTTATATCTATCTATCTATCTATCTATCTATCTATCTATCTATCTATCTATCTCAGCCCTTTTTTATATCTATCAATCTATCTCAGTCCTTTTTATATCTGTCTATCTATCTAAGCTTGTTTATATCTATCTCAGTCCTTTATATCTATCTATCTATCTATCTATCTATCTATCTATCTCAATCCTTTTTATATCTATCTATCTATCTATCTATCTATCTATCTATCTATCTCAGTCCTTTTTATATCTATCTATCTATCTATCTATCTATCTATCTGTTTCGTTTGTAAATATATTCTTAATAAAAGTAACACATATACTAGTTCCGGAAACTCTGTTCTGGTGTATAATATTGTAGAATTATCCTATTCATCTGACTCTGTATTCAGATCAGCGGGCATGTTTTAGTCGTTAGGCGCAACGTTTCGGCCGTTTCAACCCGAACTTCTTGAGATATGCTTAATATTAGAAAATGGGAAAATGAATACACGGAAGATGATTAGTCTATACAAGTTATCTGCAAAGCATGGAAAGCGAAATATGAAGAGTCTACCCAGTCGATTAAATAAAGTGTTCCGTTCAAGGTTAGAGAGTATGACAAAATACCAGAAAAAGTCTGGACAGTGAAGACTTGAAACGTTGCCAGTATACCAAGCAAAATGAGAACACTAATTTACATGGAACACCATAGAATGACTATAATGCTGGCATATAGAAATGTAGACGTTCTCTTTACAAAACTGTCAAAATCAAATAAAATATTTTGTAATGGCGGACATTCTATGTAAATCGTTTCGTCCTCAAAAAGTATTTTATGAAACAAAAGTAATGTTCATATGTTTTTATTTATCCAACTATCTATTTATGTTTTTCATTTTAAGCCAAATTATAGAACACAACGATTTGTGTAGTCTTTATCTTATTGTTCATCCAGCGCAAGTCTCCAGAGCCACTTAAATGTTGCTGTAGGAGTGCAAGAGAAGAAAGTAAGAATATATACTACGAAGATACATAGAACAAATAAAAGTTAACTCGTGGTTATCGGGGAAAAATCATTTCGGTTGTCTTTTCTACCAAGTCGCAGTTCCGAAAAAGAAGCTGAGTGGAACTTCCTCCTTACTAATGGAATACGAAAGGAATACGAATGAAAATTGGAATAAAGATGAGATGGCTGTTAGCATTGAAGTTCTAGACTGGCGGAACTATGGAATGTAGCTCATCTGAAAACTTGTTCAGAAAATAATGACAGCGGGAGTGTAGTAACATTACTTTAGGGTGAACAGTCTGTAGAGAAATAAATAATTAATCGCCTACACGGAGTTAAACGCTTTAGAAATCTACCAATGCTGAAAAGTGTGAAATGGGCAGCTCCAGCCCCACATATCCCAGCAGTACTCCAATTATGCTTTGATTTGATTCTTACAACGATATAAAAAAAAGCAGGCGGGTAGAGGCGGGTACATTCTTGACAGCTTTAAGGAATCGATCACATTACCAGATTTACACTATTTACATTGTTCGGACTATCATCCTCAGGTATTATATACACTATTTACATTGTTCGGACTATCATATAGACAGGATTACCAAACTTTTTAGTGATGGATCTATACGCTCGAATTTTAAAGCTATAATATTCGTAGTAATCAAATTTAAAAATTGCACTTTCCTTCGCCAGATTATAAATCATTCTTTACTTATATTAACTTGAACTAATTGATTCTAGCACGTTGTCAACATCGTGACACTTCTAAGTATAATGCTGTCTACAGTTGAAATGTAGTGTTTATTTTATTTTAAATTGAAAGCTTTGTCTTTGATCGAATAGTAAGTCTAGATATTATGTTGAACACAAAAGTAAAAAAAAATATATATATATATATATATATATATATATATATATATATATATATATCAATGTATAAGATAAGAATAAATGGAGTATAATTCCACTGTACGTAGCATTTAATTCTAAAAAAAAGCGCTAAATGCATATTAAAGCTATAGGGGATTAAAACAAAAACATGTTTAAAATCACTATACAATTGCTTTCGTGTTTCGCCACTAAGTTGTGCCTCTTCAGGCGATGGTAAAGAAACGGTGAGTAAGCCATTATTTTTAATTTCAAAAGCAAAATACATCCTGTTTTTTTGAAAGGGAACAAAAGCCGAGGAAATTTAAAATGAAAGCTTGTGGGTTTACCCTGATTAACCAATCAGGTGTCAGACCTACGCCAAATTCAAAATTGATGTAAAAAATGAAAATTTAGATCATAGCATATACTAACCTGAAATAGAATCCCAGAGAAGATGATTTTGTCAAACATGGAATTGATTCAAACTATAAGCGAGGGGCAACACTGTATCATAAGTTTGTATAAATATGACTTGTTCAGTTTTCCATAAGAAGCTAAGGGAAGGAGTAGGAAGATAATCAAACGTATAGCTAATTTGAACAAAGATTTTATAGTTGAAAATTAAAAGGATGATTTAAGAAACAAATGAATACAATCAAAGCAGTTAAAATATAAAAAATGTGGAACATCTATATAAGATGTTAATAATGCCAAATAGACAGCAATATATACCTATATTAAATCTAAATAAACAAAATAAAATAATCAGTCATAGAAACTGCACCCCAATTTACTTACTATTTATGACTATAAGAAATAGTACTATCAGATTCAAAATTTAACCACATTGGATGTTGAAAAGTAAACTATGCCAGCAGTTTCCCATTAGTTCACTTCTCACCTCTTTAAAATGAAGAAATTTTATCAGCAAATCTACTAATTTCCAATTTGTCATGTAAGCGTAAGAAGCAAGGTTCATATAAGGATTTACAAGATCTAGGATTTTTAATACTTTTCCTTTTACCGCAGGAGATTTATTAACCTCTTTTAAATTCCCAAAATATTTGGAAAGAGTAGTTCTATTTTTATAAGTGCTATGGGTGAAAGATAGGATATGTTGGTACAAACCTAGTTTTAAAAGAATTCTTAGAATTCTCTAAATATGATTTTTCAACAGTCCAAAAAATTTTAAATTTTCCTTTTTTATAGAAAATATATTATATATATATATAAACAATATAATATATATATGTTTGGAACCTATAGACATTTTTTTTATGGCAAAAGAATTAAATTCTATACACACACACACACACACACACTGTTGATATATATATATATATATATTTAAATAGCCCCGTCTAGAGAATAAAAAGAATTTTGTCTGAGTTACAGCTCAATGTTCGTTAAACTCGGCCTTGTGCCGCATGTAACCCTCGTGAGCAAGAATATAATATAAACCAGACAGACAAGGCTCAAACACAATTCTATTACATGTTTATAATTCATTACATTAAAAAATATATATATATATATATATATATATAAAATCTCGATTATATATAATATATAAGAATCCAGTTACGATTTCAATTCATCAGGTCTACTATATATGGTTATAATTCATCGGAAATCGTAATAACATCCATTCATATATATATATATATATATATATATATATATATATATGCAAGAAGATCAGTGTATTGGATATATATATATATATATATATATATATATATACCGTCATCCACAGACAGACTGTTTCGCAGCTCATCAGTGTGGCTAGACATCCGGTTGCCTGCAGCTAGGGTCGAAATCCGACTGAACTGGTGTCAATCGGAGATTATAACCATTAAGCCTTCGGCGCACGGACTTTCCAAATATTTCTTATGCAGTATTACATCAAAACATGCACACATACACTACAAAATTGTATACTTTTACATCGTGATTCCTCATCTCATGAGACATTTTAAAAAGTTTTTCTTTTTTTAACGTTGAAAGAAAAATGTATAATTTTGCAGTGGATATGTATATGTTCTAATATAACACTGCATAAGAAATAAATATTTACGAACGGCTCTACTTTTTGTACTGAGCACTGTTTTTAAATTAATGTTTTGAATGCTGAGATCTTACTGTTTGTTCTTCTACACTTTGATATATATATATACATACATACATACATATATATATATATATATATATATATATATATATATATATATATGCAAGAAGTTCAGTGTATCGGATATATATATATATATATATATATATATATATATATATATATATATATATATATATATCCGATACATTGAATTTCTTGCAGCCATGGTTTCTGCCAAGATGGATTCATCAGGCTGCCTGAAGAGGCTATCGCGTTAGAAACCTTCGTTGCAAAAAGGTCACTGTTTCGGATATTTTATATCTTGCCATACACTTTTTTTTCTGAAAATTTAATTGAGCACTCTTTAAATTTAGACGTTCTTTGGCGAATACCACTTTTGGCAAAATATATTCAATTAAAATTATATATACATACATACATATATATATATATATATATATGTGTGTGTGTGTGTGTGTGTGTGTTTGTGTGTGTGTGTGTGTGTGTGTGTAGGGATAAGCTGCCGCTGTCTATAAAATGCTTCCGTGGAATGCATCTCTGACAACTAAGTTCAGCTCCAAGCCGGAACAGGAGCGAACGCAGACAACTGTCGAGTCATAACCAACTCCTTTGGGTAGATGGAGTTCGACAGCCCTGGAAGTCAGTCCATCCAGGGAAAGGAAAACACTGATCTTAAACCTCTGCTGCCTTGCGGTTATATCTAAACACGGAAAAGGCTATGAAAGTAAATTCAGACAGTAGTTATGAATATAGAATGGCGCACATAGAGTGCGGGTGCAAATAAAATATTGCTGGATGTAGAATAACAAATGTGTAGTTTATACTCATAATAAATATACAAGGCTCCCTACTTGGTAGTACAACACTGAGATCAGGATTGAAAATTCAATTATCAAACAGCACTTAATGTTTTCATTGTGCATGGAACTCGCGGTGAGGCAAAATACGCATAATCTTTATAAATAGACACACACACACACACACACACACACACACACACACATATATATATATATAGATATATATATTGAACAATAAAAATTTAAAAAAATAAAAAAATCTTCAGTCACACTGGGTTGTATATTAATATTCTTTCGTTTTTTTTTTATATTTTTTTATTTTTTGACATGAATTTTGTTCAGCCCTTGTATCAGTCAAACAGACTCTTTTAAGTTCTTATTTAAGATAAGAGCTGAATGGTTTCTTGTTGCTCTGAATTCCCATGGTCATTTTAGCAGTTTTATTGGTTCCTGGATAGGGAATGTGTCTGTGTTAAGTGTGCGTTATCATTAAGTTCATTA